TTTTTTGACCAATTTTATGTTCAATCTTTGTGGCACCTCTCCTCACTCCTTTTTTTGTCTCGGCTTTAGTATTAGCTCTCCTCCCAATCCCACTTCATATCACCGCTTTAGCTATTTGTCATTCTGACTTCTCGTTTTCTCGCTTAAGTGTGTTTCGCTTCATGTTGATTTACTGAAACATAATCGCCTTCACCACTAGATTCATATGTCGTTTGTAGGGATTCTGGGTCATGGCTTTTGACTTTCATTTAGCTCCCTTCCATCCAATTTGCCAATTGTTGCTCGCTGCACTTTAAACTCACTGTTTGAAGAGGGCAGTCGAAGGGATTCGTAAATCTGTTCCACCGGGTTGGCTGTGGGTTGCCTTGGCGATGGGGTTGTAGATTTGTGCGAATAGGTCGTCGGCGCACCGCGTTGTGACCCCGATGAATACTTGCTGATAGTTCGTCCGTCATGTCCCGTATATCATCAGAGCAGGACATCATGGCTATCGATAATTCAACAAAATCATAAAAGCAAGAAATGTTGCAGGCTTCATCCCACTTCTTATATTATAATTTGGTCCACTTATGCATATCATGTTTTGGTTGAATGTCATATACTTTGCCTCTATTTTTTCATAAGTTAAGTGGCTGCGAATGAAGCGTGAAATAGGTACAATAAAAGACGAACAGCTGCATCATCTCTCTTATGCCTCTGGTCCTGCAATGTTACCGCATGTGATTGCGTCTCATTACATGTGTGTTGTGCGAGTGAATTGCTTTTGAAATGAGTGTGTGTTAGAGTCAAAACCAAATTCCAGTCTGATCAAGCCTCCCCCTTTTGTTGGTTGATACTTCTCGTTCCCCCTCATCATGTCTAAACCTATCCAACAGCCACAATTAGTTTCCGCTTAGCTTCCTACACTCATTCCTTCTATTCAGAGTGTTAGCTGTTTTGTTGATTTATATCGCCTCAATAATGCTTCGCTTACTGGTATCGTCTCCATATCCAGCTAAGCGTCTGGAATTAGACCAATCTATCTGGTCTCCTGTGCTAGTCATGTGTTCTGTCAATTCCAATTTTTTCGGGCCACATCCTTGCAGACTGTTTTGTGTTCGGATAACCTCTTATGTATGTATCTACAGGTCTCCCACAGGCACTACCACATGAACTCTAAATCTTGTAAAAGCTTGATCTGCAGAGCGGGTCAGAGTGTTCTCGAAAAGAAGGTAATTCTGAGGAGAGTGTTATTTTCTCTATAAATGGTACTAATTTTCCCCCTCAGCCCTCAGTGGAACCAACTTACAAATCCCTTCAACTCTCTTCTACAAACGAAATGAAAGGTCCTCCAACATCAATCCATTAAGGGATTCTTTGAAACCCAGTTTTTCTACATACTCATAGTGTCTATCGGAATGCATATGGGCCTTCGATTCTGCTTCACGTCGCAGATGGTTTAAAACTAGGTGATTCTTATGTTCTGGTATCTTCCCAGTTTTCTCATCCTTAACCCAGTTATCCTATTTTCCATTCACACCTTAATCTCTGGTGTCGTGTGCCTAGCCTGCTTCGAAACTGCTCGTGTGAAAATGGACCTCTTCTCTTCCTACTCCTCTATTAAGTAAAGCACACTTATAGAAGTGGGTTGACCTCGTCGCAACTTGGTCTTGTGTTCAGGGAGACTATGTAGAACGCACCGA